TAGATCCCAGGGACCACTAACCGATTCTGTGGGCATGGCCTAATTTGTGGGTGTGGCTTGGTGGGCATGTGACTGGCTGGGCATGGCTTGTATGTAAATATTAATAAAAATATTAATAAAAATATTAAATATTTATAAAAAGATTGAATTTTTTATAAAAATATTGAATTTTTTATTAAAAAAAGAGCAACTTTTACCCAAAATCAGGCAAAGCAGGCAGACTAAGTTACTCACAGAATGATCTATCTATCTGCCATCAGCTAGCTCAGTCTCTCAAATTTGCTTGCCATGAGTCTGCACTGAATTTGCTTGCAAGGAAGCCTTCAGTCCTAAGGGGGGTTTGGCTGTGCTGAGCCGAATATCTAAAGACCAGCTAGAAAGAAGAAATCCAACCATTTCCTGCTTCCTAGCTCATCTAAATCTCCCAGAACAGCAGAACCACTGGTGGTCAGAAAAAAGAAAAATAGCAATTTAGCAGGCAAGTTTACCGGGTAAAGAGTGAGTGGATGGGGAGGGTTTGCATGGGCCATGTGGGTGGTGCAGCCTTTTGTTTCTGCGCAACCTGGATTAATTGCTTTGTGGGGGTGCTCTGGGGGTGAGTTTTCTCTGCAGCCCACCAAAATTTTCTCACAGCCCACCAGTTGGTGACCGCGGCCTTAAATAACCTGGTCCCAAGCCATGAAGGGCTTTAAAGGTGACAATCAGCACTTTGAATTGCACCTGGAAACAAATCAGCTCTCGCCAGAGAGATGAAATGTGCACACCATAGTCTGCACAAAACCATGCAGACTACTGCATTTTGCACCAACATTTGGTATTAATTTGGCATAAATACTAGTACTCTTGCCAGCTTTGCTATAATATCCCAGTTATCTTTACAAGAATTCTGCACAGTTGTCCACAATAATTTCTATCTATTAGCTAAGGCTATCTATGTGAAGAACTGAAAAACCTACAATATTCAAGCTTTTGTCATATAAACATTTAACTAAAAAGTCAACATTCAGTTTTGCAGGCAAAAGCAGTGTCATTTTTTATTCTGGTTTTTGTTGACCAGATTATTAAATAATACAATTGTAGGTATAGATTTCAATGTGAATCAAAACCAGTTCAAAACACAGAAACCAAATTTTGATATTGTTAAAGTAAATAAACATTTTAATGTGAATAACAACGTGAATCACAGCTTCCTTCTGTTTTTTCATTATAATTATATGGTAATATTTGAACAACTTGATACAAATGTACTTGATACAATATAAATCTTGAAGTAAAGGGATTTCACATTTTATTCTGCTGAATCCATTTTTATCATTTAATGCAATTTCCTAAAATACATAAAATCCACAAGAAAATATACATTTCTGTTCTTTCCTAGTGTAGCATTCTGTTTGCAACTCTCTATAAAATATATATTTAAAATTTCAACCAATGTAATACACATCTTTGGTGTGCAACTTTTTCAAATATACCCTTTATGAAAATAATTAGATGGATAATGAATGACATTGGCAATTTATTTATTCATTTAATTAAATTTATATACTATCCATCTTGCTATTTGGGGCAACCTTAGGTGGCTTTAAACTTATCATTACCTTTTTATGTTGAGATTGGTGTCAGGGTTCCAAGTAACACCCCCCAATCTATTTTCACACTTCTATTTCATTCCTATGGAAACCCATGGTAGACGCCATTTTTTACATTACAGTACAAATATGAAGCAGTGCCAGAAAGTATATGTTTCCACAGTCTGTTTTTGTACAAGTATTCCACTTATGTGTTCATTTACTGTAGCAATGGCTATGGGCCAGGGGTGGGAATCTACCGGTTTGGACCAGTAGTTCCAGTGAGCATTTGGCCCCTCCCATCCGCCCCTGCTCTTTCCTGTGCTTTATTTCATTGTTTTAGAGCACAGCGGATTCACACGGCAGAGCGGTTTGCCACACCTCAAGTGTTTTATTCACGGGGGTTGCTGTTCGGTGAGTAAATATTAGACTGAAAATGGGCTTTTTAAAATATGGAGCATGCATACGTGTGCAAAGTGTGTGCTTACCGAACTGGTTATTACACCGGTTGAATCGCACCACTGCTACGGAGAGAGAATACAAAGTACAAAATTATAGAGTTGGAAAGGATCTTGGAGGTCTTTTAGTCCAGTGGCCCTCAACCTTGTGGGCACCAGGGACCAGTTCTGTGAAGAGAGGTTTTTCTGTGGACCATGCAAAAAGGGGTTCGCTTGTTTGCATGGCCCAGTTGCTGGCATGCCGTGGACTGGTGCCAGTCCACAGACTGGAGTTGGGAACCCCTGTTCTAATCCAACCTCCTGCTCATGAAGGAGATTCTACACCATTCTGGACAAATGGCTGTCCAATCTTTTCTTAAACTGCTCCTGTGATGGAGCATCCACAACTTCAGAATAGAAATGAATTACAGGTCTATTAGAGCCTCACAGTTATTTTTTAGGGTTTAAAGAAAAAACTCCTATGGATATACTCATTGGCAGTATTCTCAACTGGTTTGCTAGATTCACATATTTTATTTAGAGGAAAGGAATGGTATAAGGGCAAAACCAAGAAGCTGATTTCAGGAGAGATTTAGCTAGTTAGGCAATTAAGTGTGGTGCATAAAAACTGGAATTTCAAAACTATACTTTCAGGACAAGGGATTTCAACAACTTGAGCTTGAAGAAACTGGTTATAAAAATGCTTATCTTATGCAAAACAACTTCATTTCCTTCTCAAAGTGCTGGGGGGAAGGGCTCTCTCTTGTTCTTCATGTGCCTAAATAAAGAATTTAAAGTTTAAATGGTAATGGTATTGCATACCTATGGTACATAGATTTTTCATTTTTAAAGCATATAGAGCAGGGGTGTCAAACTCATGTTATCACGGCAGCATAATGTGAGTTTGACACCCCTGTTATAGAGGCATATTTCCATTGGAATAAGATTTAGTAGCAGTGTGTTTGACAAATTAACAGGATTTATCTAAATATGTTTCTTTTTTAATACATTTTTTATTTCTATAAACATATCATTGTGTGAACAGTGTGCTTCCAGGGTGTTTTACATTTTAAAATAAACATGACAATAATTTCAGATTAATATTATTAAATATGTTTCTGATGTGCTAATTTTCTATCTATAGAACCTGCTTTTGGAGTTGACAAAATTTGAACTTTGTAATAATTTTAGATAACAAAATGTAAATGTAAATATGTCAGAATACATTCAAAATAATATATATACACGTTGTACCTAGCTTTAACAAAATGTGGGTAGAGCTTGCACACTGAATGAGAATAAACATTAAAATTAACATTAAAAACTGACTTCTAACAGATTTGAATTTCAGAATTGAGGAACATTATCCTTTCAGGGCTCATTTTTGGTTTTTTGGTTTTGGTTTTTATAATAAATTTTATTAAGTTTTCAAATCTTAAAAAATATAAAATAAAACTGTATACATTGCTACCAACATCAAGACATCTTTTGTATCTCCTTACATTTTTCAGTATATGTATTTACTTATTCCTTTACCATTACATCTTACTCTTGCTATAAATCAATATCTTTTATCCTTACACATCAATCTTCTCTATGGTATATTTACATATTTCCTCATTCTTTTCCTAATTGCCATTTTATTTTATTTTTATTTCTAAACCACTCATCCTAGGCATCCCAGGCCCTATAGTAAATTGAATCTTCTCTCTCTTTTATTTTCATCGTTAGCCTGTCCATCTCTATACAATCTTTTTTTTTTTTTATAACCATGTCTTCCGGTGGAACCCCTTTTTCTTTCCAGAGTTGTGCATACAAAATCCTTGAAGCTGTTAATATGTGTAACATGATACATCTATCTGTTTTATTGCATTTTTGTGTTATTATACCTAATAAAAAAGTTTCCGGATTAAATTCAATTTTCTGAATTTTGATTATGAAACTTTGGGGAAGGGAGAAAGGAACAATTATTAAGACACTTAATTGGTACCACATTGCTAAGTATATGAGTTCCTCATGAGGATTAGGTCTATGTATGAAAACCTCCTCATGGACATTCATTAGGGAGAAGAAAGCAAAAAAGAAGTTGGTGGGTAGTTTCAAAGCCAGGCAGGTCTACACTTTCTTCCAAAAGCTGTTGTTCTTCAAGGAAGAGTTCAGGTGAAACAACATAGAGATATGGCAGTGCAGAAAAAATGAGTTACTCTTGCTTCCTCCAATCATATTTTTGTTTCTGCAGAAAAGTAAGCAACGTTGATATACTTTTTCAGCAGGAGACTCAGTGTTGCCCTCTCTCCCTAGACAGAAGAGCTGTCTCAGAGTGCTCCACTCTGCCCAAAGACCCAAGGGCATGAAGAAGAAAGCTGTGGTAACTTCTCTCTTGGTGGAAAAGTTAGGAGCTTCCCCCTTCATTTTGGATGGGCAAGAGAGTACATGGTTCTATATGATACAGGCCTCAGCATAAATACATTTAAACTGAAAGAGCAAGAGCAAAATGCATAAATGAACAGAATTAGCAAAGTTCACCTAGATAGAAACGTTTCATACTGCTATTAGGTGGGAGAGAGAATTGTTCAGAGAAACAGCCAGAATTCCTCAGTCTGGCTTAAGCCTGGCATTTGCTGGGAGGATTCAGGGAGCCCTGTGTCTGTGTGGGAAATTCTTCAGTTTGTTCTTCTTTTCCCTAAGAAAGGCAAGCCCTTTTCTTTCCTGAAGTGATTCAGTCTTTCCAGATGGAAAGAGCACACTCATCATGGTTTTGGCATCGGAGCCCTCCAGCCCTGTCTTCAATGAATTGAACCCAAGTGTTCGCTTAACCACTTCAAGCAGCCACCATCCAGAGCTTCCAAAGTCAGGAGGAGGAAGAGAGAACAACAAGGACTCTTAAGGGTAGAAGACTGGCTGGCATGTGTAGAGGAGAGGAAACACGACTAGCAAATGCTACTAAGAAGAAACATTGGCGAATTCTTTAGGCCAGAAAAGGAGAAGCAAAACACAGCTATTCTCGTTGTGTTTTGATCATCATAAGCTCTAAAGCTTGTTCTTTTGTTTGTGAGAGACTATTTTAATGAAAACATAGGCAGTATCCAAATGTTTCTGATGACAGCTCCCCTAACCTTTTGTCCTTGCTCTTGATGTGAACAGAAGTCCCAAATGCCTAGAGAGCAAAGGCTGGGCAAATAACTCTTTGACAAATTGTTATTAAGCTCATTGTGCTAAAAGTAAAATATGACATCCCGCTGAAGTTTTCAGTTGTTGTTTTTTAAATAAAAAGGCTCACATAGCTCAGAAAAGCATGACAAAAAACCAAGTCCAACCCCTTGCTTAATTCAGGAATTCATCCTAAAGAATTCCAGATGGCTTTCTCTGTTCTATGTGAACAAAACCAGTGAAGGGGAGCTCACTGCTTTACTGGGTAATTGTTTCCACTGGTAGGCTGCTTTTGCCATTAAGAATTTCCCCCTAATATTCAAAACCTGGCTTGTTATTTAAATCCATTATTCTATGACCTGCACTCTGGATTAAAGCAGGTTTTAATCTTCATATATGTGTCCTTTTCTCCCAGGTGTTCGAAGAGCATTTCTCCAACCACCTTTCCCCAAAATTAAGCATGCCTGGCTCCTTCAGTCTGTTTTCATAGACATAGTTTCTAATTTTTTTGATCATCTTGTTCATTCTTCTTTGAACCAGTTTCCTGAATCTTTCTTAAGTGTGGCAAACAGAATTAGATGTAGTACTTGTGGTCAGACAAATGTAGAATAAAGTGGAATTTCCCATGTCAATATCAAATCAGCTGTCCACATTTTATCAAACCTGAGTGCTTTTATTTTTGTTTCATAGACCAAAAAACACCTTCATGTCTTTTTAATTTTATTATATTACTTTCAACCCATTTGTCAATACTACATTTACTTTCCATCTTCTAGGGTATTGGCTATCATGCTCCAAGTTACTTGGACCCAGAAGCAAATAGGTACCCATCCCGTCAAGTCTCACAGGAAAGGCACGTTGTAGGTTTCATCTTCTAAGGAATTCCATGTGATGGGCCCATGAAGACAAGGTATTTCTGCCAGAGGCCTTGAAACATCATCCCACCACCCAAGATGAAATTATCGCTGGGCCTTCTGACTTTCTGAAAATCTCTTAAAAACTTTAGGGTGGGGTTCAACAGGCCTGGGGATCAAGAGGAAGTTCACGTGATGGCTTCATCACATGTAAAATTCTGGTTCATTCTAGCTTGCAACCTTCTTTTCATCTATATTTAATTATTTTAATTGGTTTGGGTAGAATGTTTTAATTGTTGGTTTTATTGTACATCACCCAGAATCACATTGTGTGAGGTCAGTGGCCATATAAATTTGATGGATAGAGGATGATAGATAGATAGATAGATGATAGATAGATGATAGATAGATAGATAGATAGATAGATAGATAGATAGATAGATAGAT